GGGAGGATATACCCAGAACCACCCGCGACAATGTTTTTAGCCCCATCAGGCATTGCGATCTCAACCCAGAATTCCAATGGGCGGAGGAGACTGCGGGAACTATGGGATAGCTATGGGAAAGCTACCCACAGTGCAACGCTCCGGAAATCGACACTAGCCCTGGTACATGGACGCACACCGCCGAATTAATCTGCTTAGTGTGGTTGCATACAATCGAATTTATACAACCTGTTTTCCAAATTCGAATTATATAAATTCAGATTAATCCCATAGACATACCCTATGTCTGTTCATGTCAACTATCAAGGTTGGAGCTCTAGAAATGATTGTGCTGGAGAGTCTGGGGGAGCTGGCACTATTCTCAGAGCCTAGGCAGTTGGATGGCAAGGTCTCAGATCTCAGAAGGGACTGTTAGATGGAGAATATGCACTCTGAGAATGTGCCTAGAAAGACAGAGGGAATGCCTGGACTTGGCTCAAACTCAGTAAAGTTTGAAAGCACACTGGCCCAGTGCTGGGATCTGGACACAGCAACCTGATGAGCATCCAACAAGGGAAGCCTGATGAGGACTGTGACACCCTGGGCTTAAATAGCCAAATCATTCTCCACAGGGCTTTTTGCACAGTAAAAACGCATAACAAAACTGATATATACAGAACTATCACAGAAAGCATGAATATCTGAGTACCTCCATCAGAAATACAGCCCAAATGCTACAGACGTAAAGGATACACAGGTGAATAGAGTTGTCCCTACACTTACAAGATCTGAATTTGGCCACAAGGAATTATATATACACTTTTTAAAAAATAGCTATTTCCTTTTCAGTAGTTTCACAGCTACATTTTCTTTGCTTTGGGGCTTTTCTTCCCTTTCGTGAAAATGTTGTACCTTTCCAGTTCATTTGAAATTGAGGCGACCTCTTTGTTGCTGGCAAATTGGCTACCGTACTCGAAATTTTCAAGCAATCAGGGCAGAGGAATTTTTACAGCCAGAGTGGATACATTTGAATACTTAGAGAAATAACTGCATAGTTATTAGAAATAACTGAATTGCAATTATTCAAATTCCTGTATGCTGATTGGCTAAGAATGGTCAGGGTGATCCCGTAATTTATGACAACTATGTAATGATCATGCTAATTAAACAGCAGGACTCAATCAAAGGGCAGGGAAAGATAGAACTGTACACAGTATCCCTGTGCCACTGTGGGGAGAAAAATAGAGGATCTGGTTCTATTTCTAATTACAATGGTTTTACACTACATTACATGGAATTCAGGGGAGTAACTTGGATTTATATCATTGTAAGTGATTAGAGTCTAGCCTGGAATCTCTAGAGTATTCCTCTCAGGGCAAAATTCATCCCTGTACAGAGGGCCCACACAGGACCTATGAATAGGGCTGGTTTAAAAATTTTCTTTGAAACTGTTTTTTGACAGAAAATTGGGATTTTGAGATGCAAGTTTGTGGGTAGTTTTTTTTTTTTTTTTAAAGAAAAATGCCTGATTTCTGTGGAAAATTTAGACTTTATCTAAAAAATAATATCTCAAAACTGAAAACTTTCAACCAAAAAAATAAAAATGTTGATTGGTAAATGTCATTGTGGTACTTTATTGGAGGTATAGTTTGGATACCCCATGCCTTTATTCACCTTTTTTGGGCCAGGCTTCCCAGCTAGACTACATCTCCTATGATCCCCCATGCTAGATCAGTGGTGGATCATAGTGCATCATGGGAAATGTATTCTGGTCAGAGAACCCAGCCCATAGAGGAGAATGAGGCACCTGAACTACAACACCCATGAAGCACCATGGTAACATTGCCCAATTGAAAGATTTCAGTCAAATTTTTTTTGGCTTCTGCTGAAAGTTCTTGGTTTATTTACTTATTTTTGAGGGGTCAAAAGTAATTTTCTGCAGGAAAATTCAGTTTTCTGACCACTTTATCTATGTGTTGAACCAGTCTAGAGTAATGTCCCCCTACCTGCATCTATCATTGTGGGGTTGTTGTTAGCCCCTTTAAAAAAAAGGTAAACCAAGAAGGATCTGTGGGTGTAAACAACCAAGGTGTTTATTAAACCATCAACAGTTCTAAACAAGGTAAAGCAGAGGTAAACCAAATTAATAGGAACACAGGTAAATCAAGGACCCCCACACAGGTGATAATAAAGGTAAGTAAAGAACTGATAGTATGCTGACTGTGACTGAGGATAAGTTTCCTCCTTCACCTAGGACGGGACCTAGGTAACAGGATGAGGATCAATGGACCACTACCATGTCTTGCAGCTCTGAGGACCCTTGTGACAACAGGACAGCTCCGGATCCCATCCAGGTAGGTGGAACCCACAGGTAAGGAGTGGACCTCAGGATCAGGCAATGACAGCTCTGCCCTAGCGATGACTTGGCTTGAACGCCCCCTGTGATGTCATGGGTGTGTGTTTGTCCTCAGTGAAAGAGTGGCAGTTTGTGACACATTCTCTGTATGCAAGTGAGAATTACCCTCCCACAACCAGGTGAATGAGCACGGTATTCAGCGTACTCCACTGAGGCAACCTAGAGAGCTGAGGTGTCTGCTGTGCTTTCCAGCAGCAGCAGCACCCCCAGACTCTGCCATTCAGAAGGGCAGCCCCTTCCCTCTGCTGTGCAGGCCCTTATAGGCCCTGCTGTTACTAGGCAGATCACAGGTCACATGATTTGCTTGGTTTCCCACCTTGTGGTAGAAAGGGTGGGAAACTACACCTGATGAGGGGGGAGAAGGGCAGCCAAGATGGATTCCTAGTTGTTGTTTGGGCATTCCAAGATGGCGCACCTATGATGTTAATCACAAAAGTTTTTCCCCTACATATGAAGCATATAAATCCCACTTAAATGTTTAAAGGTTTAAGCCACCTTTGGCCTCACCCTGATCCCAGGGCTATGCAGCACCAGTTTGGTCTCCAGGCTGAAGCTAGGGCAGCTTTGTGCTAGCAAGGAATGAAGCCTAAAAGGCCACCAAGGATTGTATGGCACAGATTTCCTTGACCACACTACTTTTTTCCCAGCCATGCCTTTCAGTGACCACTGGAAGTGCTATAGCAGCTCTGTGCCACCCCAAGATCCTCTATGGGCTAGGTAAGATGGTGTTAGGGCAACTTTGCACCACAGGTCAGTGCGAACTTTCCCTCATGTAATGCAGTCCGGGATCCGGCCCAGTAGCATCAAGCCTTGGTTTGCCCACATGGAACAGAAGTGCCAAGGACCAGTATTAACACTGGCATCCAGCCTTCATAAAGTAATGCCACTTCCATTGTCCACAGGGACTGACTGCAGCTCCCACAGGAGAAGATAGTTTCTGTAACATCACAGTAAGCTCCTTGCAGCAAAAGCTGAATTAAACCTTATTCATTTGATGTTCAGCCATTTAGTGTCAACCTTACCTGGTATTGTAGCTCCATTCTGCCAGTGCACAGACTTGTCTCGTCATGTCACAATTTGGGAGACCAGTTAATGAGGAACCATATATTGGCACACTGTCTTGAATGTCAATGGGCCATAAAGGAGGGAGATACCAATGGCTGTGTGCTCTGTGCAATCCCCTCTGGCAAAGCCTTTCTAAAGCCAGAGGACAAAACAGAGGCATCTGCCATGCGGGTGGCCATTTTGGAAATACTAAGAATTGCCAGCATTGCACTTCCCACGTGAAGATTCTGGGACTGGCAGCCAGCCTCCCAGAAATAGACGCCTGTGTCCAAAATCCAAACCTCACTTTTTGCATCTGGCCTCTGTTTATAATGGGCCAAACCAAAACTCAAGATCTGAATATCCCATATTTTCAAGGGATTGAAATCCAGACAGTTTTGCAGTTCAAGTTCATCCCTACATCAGGAGGTGTTGAATTGGTGTTGGATAGCTGTCAGATTCTCATTGTGCACATTTGGACATGGCTTTGAAGCATTGTGTGTGGACAGATAGATCGATATTTACTAAACCCACATTAATACCTGGCAACAAATCATAGTTGAGCCTAGCCCAGATGCAGTTAGCTGAGTAGTCGAGCCTTTAGAGATCAGGACTAAAGCATGGTTTTTAAATTGGATATAACATAGCCTATGTCTACACTAGCACTTTTATTGGTAAAACTCTTGTTAATCAGGTGTGTGGAAAAAACACCCCCTGACCAACAGAAATTTCACCGACATAAGTGCCGGTATGGACAGCATTATGTCGGCTGGAGACACTCTCCCACCAACATAGCTACCGCCACTCGTTGGAGATGGTTTAATTATGCTGACGGGAGAGCTCTCTCCCATCGGCATAGAACGGCTACACAGGAGATCTTACAGCGGCACAGCTGTGCCCCTGTAAGGTCTGTAAAGTAGACATAGCCATAGTTTGGCCCTTTCTATGTAGGCCAAATAACACCACAACCCCGTTCAACACCAGAAGACATTGTGGGCCAGATCCCAAGCTATGCCAATATACACCAGCATCATCTCTTCAGCTCTTGCAAATTTTGGTTGTTTTGGATGTGTAGACAGGCCCCACATTGCTTTCATAGCTGTCATCACTGGTAGCATTTGCACACCTAAAGAATCTGTAGCAGATAAAACAAGAGGCAGTGGTATTTAGAATTCTGGTGGGAAAGCTCTCATGAGATGTTTCCTCTCTTCTGCATCTACATTAAAGCCTTAATCAAAGTTTTCTTTTTAGTTGGGCAATCCTGCACCTCATCCCTACTTAGTTATTCATCACAGCAATCTCCCAAGGTGAAGTAAGTCAATAATCTGAAAAACTGGCCACATAGCACTTTCAGACCCTTTTGAGTAAGATGTATTTCCATGTTCATATTACAGGTAAATGTGTCATAGCAATAATCTCCACTGCTTTGTAATATATTCCAATATGTTGTTTTTCAGATTGATTGAATGCCCCAGCTGCACTCTAGCTATTAAGCAATCAGCAGCTCTTCATTGTTTTCATGCCTCAAGACAAGAGATCATCCTTTAAATATAAGACTTACCGTAATTACGGCTTTGATGATATCAAAGAGTGGACAGAATTTAGCAGCATGAACAAAAGTTTTCAAATACTCCAACGTCTCTTCTCCCCTTGATTCATGAACCTAGGTTCCTTCAGTGGGAGTTGTTCATCTCCATTGATAGCTCCATCTTTATACAGCAGCCAGCTACAATAAAATTGACCATAAAATGACTGGTAAAAAGAGAACACATAAAATGGCTTATATCTCAGAGGTCTGAGGAGGCACTAGGTGTACTTAATATCAGCAATAGCACACTTCAGAGGAAAATGTATTCGTGAATGTGCCATGGATCAGTTTCAATATTGTGAGCCCTGGAGGCAAAATCTTGATTAGCCCAATGTTTACTCTGGTTGAATAGCACCTTGCTCCACTGGACTCAATGGGAGTACTCAGGCAGTCAAGGTGGCAGAATTGGGGCCTGCGTTATCAGCACATGGGAAGTGCTAGTATGGCATTCTAAAGCAGACTCCTAAAAGGGGTTATGGCTCTTATCAAATCAACTGTAGTGTTCTAGGGTGGTATTTGCAAAAGTGCCTAGATGATTTAGGAGCACAAGCCCCATGGAGTTCAGTGCAGTAAGGACCATAGGGAGCATAAGTGGGGATCTGTCCACAGACTTTCCTTTCTATAGAACTTGTGCTCCTAAATAACTTAAGCACTTTTGTAAATCCCACCCCTTAACCTTTAAACATTTTTCTTTTAAAAATACATGTAGATGTTCAGAAGGTTTTTAATGAATTAATGAAATGGTAAAAAGCCCCTGTTAATCCAGAGTTAAATTTGGCCAGGGGTATCTTTGTGCCCTTCCAGAATGTTGACTTCAGTAAAACTCAAACTTGTGAAAACAAGGAAATACAGAGCTAAGGCACATGCCCATGCAACTTAACTCTTCCCCCCTGCAGCCAGGGGCGGCTCTATGTATTTTGCCGCCCCAAGCACAGCAGTCAGGCGGCTTTCGGTGGCGCGCCTCCAGGAGGTCCACTGGTAATGCGGATTTGGCGGCATGCCTGCAGGAGGTCCGCCGGTCCTGCAGCTTCGGCGTACCCGCCGCCGAATTGCCGCTGAAGTAGCGGGACCGGCGAACCTCCTGCAGGCATGCCGCTGAAGGCTCCCTGACTGCCGCTTCCACAGCGACCAGCAGGCTGCCCCCCCACGGCTTGCCACCCCAGGCATGCGCTGGTGCCTGGAGCCGCCCCTGCTTAGAGCTGTCAATAACCACTGGGAATTAATAAAGTGAATGCAGCTAGAGTTAATGCAGATGAGTATAGCTGTACTGGATGGTGGAGGAATAAGTTGGAGCACTTGGAAGGCCTGCAATGAGATACCAGGTGGCCCTCTTGGGGGCGGGGGGGAGGGTGTGCGCGCGCCTCTCCTCCTGACTCCTGTGTGTATGATCAAAGGAACAAGGTGCATGTGACTGTTGGGAGATCCAGTATGCCTCATGTCAGTGCTGCATTGCATAGGCTGAGTATGGGCCTTTTTGCCACAGGGATTGTCAGCAGCTAGGTGGGAGATGAGTGTCATCTGTGAGTTTAATGAAGGGTAAGTGAAAGTATAATGTGAGTTGACATCATACACATAAGGATGAAGGTTTTATAAAAGAGGAGGACAGGGTTGTAAAATTCAGCAGATGTGGTATGCTCTGTGTGGCATAGGCTACAGGCTTGATCCACACTTAAAAATTTCACACCCTGAGTGCCATATTAGGTTGACCTAACCCCTGGTGTTGACACGCCTAGGTCAACAGAAGAATTCTTCCATGAAGCTAGCCCCCTCCTCTCAGAGAGGTGGATTAACAACATTGACGGGGGTATGGGGGGAGCTGCGGTGCGGTAGTTGTGCCACTGCAGCAGCTGTAGTATAGAAACATTGTTGCTAAGTGATTTCTAAGTGCCCTCCATCACTCCCTGTGTACTTTGTGGTAGTGGAATGGGGATAATGGTTGTGATTTGAAATGTGTAGAGGGTATTGTTCCTAACGGAGCTGGTGAGAGAAATCTTAGCCATGGCCTATGTCCTGAGCACATGACAGTTTTGTTGCATGATGGTTACAGTAATTCTAAGCATGAGATGAGAATGGTGTGTGTCTTTCCTTTCCCCATATTCCCCCCCCCACACACACACTCCATTTGCAGCCTACTCTCCCTTTCTCATCCCATAAAGCCATTCACATTTTAGAAACCAGGTGTGCACGAAGAAAAGTTGTGAATCTGTGACCTCTAAGAAAAGCTGTTTTTTAAGGGAGGGCTGTATCCCAAACTTCTTGCACAAATGACCCCAAATTTGGATCACTGAGCCTGCCCACACTCCCATAAGGGACAACAACTTTCAAGACACTCAGGCAATGGTAAGGATTTTAGAACACTGCAGAATCATCCTTTAAACAATTTTTGCTCAATCTTAACCGTAGCAGACCTGTTTTGCTGTAATATTGGTGTTACATTAGCTATCCTCCAGTCATCTGGTACAAATCTCCTCTTGTTGTAGCCCCAAACCTTCTCTCCTACTTCCTCCTAACCCCCTTCCTCTCAGCAAGCATTTGCATATCTCTCCCCCCCCAATGCTTTGGTTAAATTCCCCCAAAATAACACACCCAACAGAGCTTTTAGCAACAGATCTTCAAAACTTTTCTTGATTTCTGAGCAGGGAGGGACTTGAAGTGACACTAGTTGGCTGGATTCAGGATCAGGCTTACTGCTTAACCGCTTGTGCTACACAGCTGCTATAAAAGCTTTTCACCTACAACTCCTCACGTTTCTCTCTCTGCATATGTTCTGTTTTTGGAGTTTGACCTGTAGTCCCGTAGACCCTTAACTGGAGAACCAAAGTCTTTGCTAATAGCACTCTGAATTTTGCTCTCCCAAAGGGCTAGGGGATGCTATACACTCTCTTGGACTAGAGCCATGGTTTGATCCCCAGGTCCTGGAAAAAAAATACATTGCCAAAATATGTCAACCTTCAGAAAAGTTGTTTTATCAGAGGGTTGTGTTGCGGGAACCGCTTGTCCAAATGGGCTCAATTTGGAACACTGACCTACCCCATGAGGCACACCAAATAACCATGTGGATTTGAAAGTACTTAGAAGAGTTGAGCTATAAATAGAAAGTTGGTCTTAGCCCTAACTAAGGCAGAGCTAGTGCTCTGCTATAATGTGCAAGAAAGGGGCCAGATTCACATACTCTTACTCACGTTAAGTAGCTCCACTGCAGTGACTGGGACTCCTATTCAGTGTGAGCAAGGGCATCAAAATCTGGTCAATAAGTTTCTCTGCTCCCTGTTGACATGTGGTATAAAGGGAACAAAAACTATGGAAAAAGCTATAATGGGGCTATGCAGAGGGGTAAGGTGGAGACTCAAGCTGTGCGCCTCCCCCCCTCCAACTGTCTATAGTCCCTTTGCCTAATATATGAATGGCCAATAAACTGTGGACATGGCCAGAGCTTGACACTTTCTAGCTAATATACTTGTAGGCACTAATTTTATTTAATTAGTATTAAATTGAATCTATTTGCCTCATTGAGTTCCACATGCTGGCTATATGTTCAGCAATAAATTTCTTTTAATCCATTGAAAACATGTATCCTTTAATTCCTGGATTGGGTTGATTACAAATTAACATAAATATGGCCACTTTGACTAAATACTTTAAAGTTTCATGTGAAAGTAGTTTTCAAAGGATTAATAAATGGTTACTCAATTGTTAGATTGTTGTAGAGTCCACCAGGTCAACAAGTGCTTATAACCATCAGTAACAGCAACTATTTATGTGCTTATAACAATCTTCAACACATACAGTACTAATGTAGCTAATATGTTGACAATGTCTATTATCGAAACCACTTATCACATTTTAAAATAAAGTGTGAGCATTAAACTATGTTCTGTAAATTATATTATTTTTTGGCTAAATTATTTACACTCAAACCCCAAACAATATATCATGATAGGTATTGGTACTGTTTGTAGTAGCACATTTCTCTGTTATATCAAGCTGAAAACCTAAGCCACACCAGCATGTATGTTAAATAGTGATCAGGTTGACCTCAGCAAAGCAATGGTACAGACAGCACATGGCCACTGAAGAATTTGTCTTACACCCATCTGAATAACTAGCTTTCCCCCTTCATGTTTTCTCAATAGTGCTTTCACTTTTGTTGTTGTTCTGTTTGGTTAGATGGATGAGGCCTGTGCAGGAGATGGAACTTTCCTAATTTAATAAGTTGCTTCCGAAAGGCTATACAGATCAGCATTTTTGCAGTTCGAAACCAAGGTTGTTGATCACCCTGTTCTGACAATTTGTCTTCATTGAAAGGGAACTGGCTCCCTCTGCTGTCTGTGTCTGGCATGCATTCTTACTCTGCTTTCCCTGTCATCAAGGTAACAAACATTCTCTCAATACCTAAGAAAGAACGGAGAAACAAATCAGACAAACCAACAATTCTGTTTGCCTAAAACCTGTATGTGATGGGAAGAAGCTATTGGAAGTGGGCAAGGGGTCATTATCTCAAAATATTTGTTTTTTCCCCCCTTTAAAACTGATGCTTCTGTTTGGCCAGCAGAAGGAAAAAGATTGGCGGCCACGGTTTTCTTTAGCTCAAAGCTACATTAACATACCTTCATGGTCATACAGGATGCTGCAGACTGGAATTCAGAACAGTTTTTCTTCCTGAGATATGGCACATCTTTATCTTTGTCTTCACTGTAGTGTGTTAACTCAAGTCATCTAAATTGAGTTAACTCCTCTCAAGTTGGCCTAGCTCAAGTGAGAGCAATCACTCTGAAAAATAACACTCAATCTGCAAAGTATGATTGTATCAGCAGCACAGGGCTTGTCTTCACTGCTAAAAAAGGTGAGTGGTGGGTTTTTTTAAACCTTAGGTGACTAATGCCTGTGAGCTATAGCAAGGGAAAAACACAGTGAAGACAGGCACTGCAGTTTTGCCACGAGTGATGTTTGAGGTCAGCCTCAACCTTGGCACATCTATCTATGGCAAGACTACAGTGCCTGGTCTTCATGTTGTGGTTTCATTTTTTTTTTAAGCAGTGAAGACAAGCTCTAAGTGGTCATGTTAGCAGCAGACCAGCTGTGCCAACTCAAGGATTGGCCTGTATCCCTTGTCTGGCCAGCCAGCTTGAGCTAAAAGCACCAAGATGCTCAGATTAAGGGTTTCTGTGTGTGGACAGAACTCAAGTTAGGAGCAACACTCAAGTTATAACTCGAGTTAACTCTGCAGTGAAAACAAGCCCAGTCATCCTGTGCCCGTAACATGTCATTCATATCTGCATTCTCTGAAACTGACCATGCACCCCTGAAGTTACTGGGAGCTTTTGTCTTTGAGTTCAGTGGATGAAGACTCAAACCCATTGGGTAGGAAGGGGAAGGGGGCACATTTTAATGTATTGAAGAGGCTGCAGGAGAGAGGAAAATTGCTCTGCAGTCCCTCTTTTGGCCACAGAGCGGTGAGACTGGCAGGGTCACAGAGAAGGCCCAGGGGGATAGTTGGCCTTGAGATCTTCTCCTGAGTAATGTCTGGCAAGAAGCCAGGAGCAACATGGAACAGCCCACTGAGGTGGAGCAGGCTCTGTTTGATGAACCCTGATTAAAGGGCAGGATCTGGACTTCTATGGAGAGAGTCCTGGGAAGTGTTCAGCTGAGGAATAGAGCACAGGAAACTTAAGAGGAAGGGCAGAAGTTGGTTTAAGTTTGTACTTTTTCTTTGGAAATTTGTTGAGGGATTCCAGATGAGACCTGAAGGATGGGGGGAATTCGAGGTTGTGGGAAGGGAGCCTGAAAAAAGGCTACAGTAGGAAGAAATCGAAGGAGGCAGCAGCAGCAAGGAGATGGAAAGAGCAGGCCTGGGCTGCTGCTTATAGGGTCGCTGGACTGGAACTTTGTGTAGCAGGTGAGCCTGGATTCCCCTACCAGCCACTGACACAAAGGGAAGCCTCCTGACATAAAGGGATGAGGAAGATTTAAAGCCTCAAGGGAAAAGGGTATAAGGACCTTGAGTTGGAGCAGAAGAGCAGGTGTTAGGACACTGGATTTGTTGGACTTCATTACCCAAAAGGGACGGAACTAAAATATAACTGGCTGGTGGGCTACGTTGTGGTAAGACCCCACCACAGGACCAGAGTAACCATCCACAGGAGGTGCTAGAGAGGAAAGAGGAAAGAGCTGCTACACCATCCCCAGGCATGCCAGCAGTGAGTTCACTTTTCTACAGGGAGCACATTTAGTATAAACTCTTTAAAACATTTTCAATGGGCTGCCCATATTTCTCTGATATAGACACTGTAGGGGAAGTCTAATGGATAGCAGGTCTTAAATGTGAGTGGGAACATGTCTCTGGAGGACTAGCTCAGAGCAGATGGAGTATTAAGAAACTGAAATATCTGAAGAGGAAAGATTGTCAAGTCATTAGGGCGCTAGTCTGGGAGGTTCAAATCTCTGTTCCACCACAGACATCTTGTGTGATGTTGAGTGAATCACTTAGTTTTTCTGGACTTTAGTTCCTCATCTGTAAAATGGGAATCATACTTCCCTACCTCAGGGTGTTGTGAGGCTAAATATACTAAAGGTGTGTGACTGCTACAGTAAAAAGGTCCTATAAATACCTAGCACAGATACACATACACACTTACCTTGATATTATCAAGAAAAATATAATCAGGCTTTGATCTAAGCAGAAGAGTAAGTTGCATACTATATAAATGACCTGATCCTGAAATCAACAGCCAAACTTTCAATGGCTTCCCTTAAATCTGCACTAGGTGGTTTTGCTGGTCAATTAGAAGTAAGATTGTCTTTGCATGTACACACAACATTTCTATACCAGAACAAGTCCAGTGCTCTTCCTTGTAAAACTTATTTCAGTTGAGAAACTGGGATAAGCTGCATCTACACTAGGAGGGCCTGCAAGTGCAGCTGTACAGTACCAGAAAACCTTTTCTAGTGTAGGACTGGCTTTCAATAGGAGCAGGAGAAGTCCCTATTAAGTGTGTAATTTGCATACAGAAGCTACTTCCTACATTCAAACTGAAGCTCAAAGCTACATTCAGAATGTTAATCACCATCTGCTTTCATATGCATGGTGGGCTAGGTGTCTTTGAAAGAGTGGGAATCAGAAATCCTTATTAATTAGAATGGCAGGCTTAAAAAAAACTCTGGAATTCCCAGGTTACCTATCAAGACATGCTTTAGGCAACAAGATTGTTCTAAAGATGTGTTTCTATCACAGGGAAAAAATGGAAAGCAACTTACCTAGGTCTTTCTTCACCTAAGTGGTCATGAGCATGTTAGAAAAAGATGGATAGTCTTGTGGTTACAGCCCTATATTGACACTTAAAAAACTTGACTTGAATTCCTGTTTCCTGTTTCTTGTGTGACCTGGGAAAAGTTCCTATGGCCCACATGTTGAACTTAAGTCCTGTTGATTTTGATGAGACTTCAGCACATCCATAAATGCTTGGCTGAATCAATGCCTGTATCATTTGGACTTCTTCATGAGAATGAGGGCAAAATACAGCCACCAAAGGCAGGTTCAAAGTAAGAGGAAAGAGTATTTCCTATGCTGTTCAATAGCATCCATGTTTCCTGTTGTAAGCTTTTGTAGGTAACTGCCCAGTTAGTCTCGTAAAAGACACAGGCTATAAAGTAAGCACGGGTATCTATGTAAACTACAATTATCACTGCAATCTCTCACACAAAGCCCCCTGAAGTTGGTGAGAATCTTTCTATTAACTTCAGTGGGCTTGGAATCAGACCTTTAGACTAAAACTACTTGTGGTGCCATTTTTATTTTCCATCTGCTGTTCAGAATTTTAAGGAGTGCTCATGGTGAGCCTCTTTCCACATTGCTGGGATGAGATGGTCAGAATTTCCCTCTCTTGTTGCCTTCTTGCTTGTTCTTTGGCCATTGTATGAGGCTTTCCCACTCCACACCTAGCGCTGGGCAGCTCTAACAGGGAAACTTTGTCTCCAATTTCCTTTGGCATCAAATGTTAAAGAAATAAGTGACTTCAAATTCTGACACAAAAGGCCAAGATTTGCAGACAACAGGCTAGATTCACTCCTGCCTCTGCATGGGCAGTTGTGCTGAAGAAGTCGTACACAAAAGCCAGGTACTACAACTGGCCTCCCCTGTGGGTTCTGCCAGGGGGAGCAGTGTAATGTTCTATGCACAGATGAGGGATGCACTGGCCCCATTCTCTTCTCACCTAACCGCATCATTTTCTGTCTTGGGAGCCATCTCCCCACAATCACTCAGTGTGGCACTGTGTCCCCCTCTAGTGGTGGCTGCACCACCTACAGAGATTGAAGCCATGACAGCCTTTGCTAACCTCATTGGGTCCTTCAGTTCAGGCAGTGGGGGCTCGTGCTTTAAGATCCAGAGCTCTCAGTTTCAATCCCAGCTGCCGACGACCCATCTAGGAGCACAGCATTACATGCACAATTGGGCAGCTGTACCTCCACTCTGTGCACCACCCAGGAATTACATCTACCACATAAATGTCTTGTGACACTGGCTACAACAGTGCCATGTGAACACCTGTTCTCACTTTCAGGTGACAATGCAAAAAAGAGGCAGGCAGCATTATCTCCTGCAAATGTAAACAAACTTGTTTGCCTGAGTGACTGACTGAACAAGAAGTAGGACGAAGTGGACTTTAGGCTCTAAAGTTTTACATTGTTTTGTTTTTGAATGCAGTTATTTTTTGTACATAATTCTACATTTGTAAATTCAACTTTCATGATAGAGATTGTATTACAGTACTTGTATGAGGTGAATTGAAAAATACTATTTCTTTTTTTATAGCACAAATATTTGTAATAAAAATAAATATATAGTGAGCACTGTACATTTTGTGTTCTGTGTTGTAATTGAAACCAATATACACCTCTACCTCGATATAACGCTGTCCTCGGGAGCCAAAAAATCTTACCGCGTTATAGGTGAAACCGTGTTATATTGAACTTGTTTTGATCCACCAGAGTGCACAGTCCTGCCCCCCCCCAGAGCACTGCTTTAATGTGTTATATTCGAATTTGTGTTATATCTTGTCATGTTATATCAAGGTAGCGGTGTATTTGAAAATATAGAAAATATCCAAAAATATTTAAATAAATGGTATTCTATTGTTTAACAGTGAAATTAGTCGCAATTAATTGTTTTAATTGCTTGACAGCCCTATTTAAGATCAATCAGTAGATGGGGACTGTCCTGCCAAAATGTCAGTCTCCAAACATATTGCTCTGTTGCTAAGTAGTTGATATATGCTTCAGCACCAAATAATTCTTAGGACTGGATAATACAGTTTTAACCACATAGTGGGAAGGAAAAGAATATGAGAAGTCTGCACTGTTATCTGTAACCCAATGGGAAGAAGGAACACTTCTGGCTAAGGACTCTGGGGCAGTCCTTCTATGAGACTTGTCTAATAATCTTGAATGTCCATCAAGTCCTTTACTCATAGGTTTTCTAAATAACAATTCCTCCCCCCTGGAAACTATGTGGTTCTCAATGGATGTTCCCCATAAAAGGTGAAAGGTTGAACTGATGATACTAGGATTTGAACCTTAGCTCCATAGAGAATGGGGACCAAAATCTCTGCTGGTGTTAACTGGCACATCTCTTCACCAACTTCCACCTGCAGAAAATTTTGACCCCAGGTTTTTTAAACCTTCTATTTAGACTATTAAACCATCTTCTTTGGCTTAATTCCAGTTTCTAATTGCAAATAGTAGTTTACTACTCCCCCTGAACAATGCATCAGGAAATTCTTCACCCTTATCAAAAATGTACTCACTTATCCCAGTTCGTCTATTAACTTGGCTCTGGCTTAGAAGTAAAGATCCATGCTTTCCCTTCCAACACAGGGTTATTTCTTTCCTCGCTATGTGAATTGCACGTACAGGAGATAACAGAAGTCCCACAACACATTCTGAAAGCTTAAGACAGCACAATTTCTAATCCCTTTGAAACTGACATAGAAACATAAGCCCGACATGCATAATCAACTACAGGCCTAATCAAAACACTGTAAACATGATTTACTATTCCTATCAAGCACCTCCCTCCCATGCTCCTTTATAGCCAGCAATATTTCTTAACAAACAACTCCCATTTTTGTAACTATCTGAGCCACTATCTCATTAATGTGAGACCACCCTCATATTAGTATTTCTCTTCTAATCTCTTTCTCTCTTGCCCTCCCCTCATCTCTTGCATACTTCCAAGTGTCCCTATGGCAATGAGAAATTCGTATAGCTAATAGCGAATGCCCATTTTTATATAGGTTACACAGGAGAGTCCTGATATAAAGGCTATAAATCCTTCTAGGTAACCCTTTTTTCACTTTTCCCACGCAACCTGGAATGACCACAGCCTCTGTTTTTATAGCTGGCTCCCAAAGCATCTAACATTTTAAATATTTGTTAGGAAAATGACAAATGTTTTTTCCCCAAACTGAAGAGTAATAGAATATCCAAGTAGTCCTTCAGTTACATTTTGAAGTTAGGGCCTCTGAAAATCAGTTCTTCTGTCACACATCTGCAAGGGCATGTGTTTAGGAATCTGTTTAATCCATGTATTGTGATAGACCCAGGCCAGTTGGGTATAGCAGAAGGCAGATATACTGGCCACTGGATTAACAGTTTTCTGTTCCCTGACTGACCAGAGCAGGGGCTGCTCCAGGCTAATGAGAACACCTGACTCCAATTAACCTGCAAAGAGTCAGGTGAGGCCATTAAGCTAATGTGACCACCTGACTCTAATTAAGGCCCCGCTGATACTATAAAAAGGGCTCACTCCAGTCAGGCAGAGGGGAGTGGAAGTGTGGCTGAAGGGCTGGTTAATGAAGACACCCTCAAGTTATTGATAAGGGAGAAGCAGAAGAGCTGTGGGGAAGTGGCCCAGGGAAATGTAGCAACTCTGGCAGTGAAAGGTTGGCTGCCAACAGCTGCTACCATTAGGGTCCCTGGGCTGGAACCCGGAGTAGAGGGTGGGCTTGGGTTCCCCCCAGCCACTACAGGAACATCTCCTGGGAGGGGAAGTCAGGCCCCTGTCAGGACAGGAGGCTAAACTGTTCTAAAGCAAGCCCTAGGGACAACAGAGACTGGGAATTCTCTCACCAACCTCCTTGCTGGCTTATGATGAAAAGGGCTCAGCAGACTATAACCCTGGCCCTAGAGAGAGAAGGGCTACATGGAGGGTCACAGAGAGCCAGTGAGGCTAGCATATACCGCCTAGAAGTGCAGGACCAGTGGGGACAAGGTCAGAGCTCTGCCACAGTATGTATTTCTATTTTACATTTATAGTCATATAATGCAGTGCCTTTCAGGGGCCCAGTACTCTGACGCCGATCCAGCAAAACACTTAAGGACAACATGCCTAATTTTAAGCCCCTGGGGGGGTCCTATTGAAGTCAAAGAGACTACTCCTAAGAACGGTCATACTGGATAAGACCAATGGTCCATCTAGCCCAATCTGCTGTCTTCTGACGGTGGGTGGTGCCAATGCTTCAGAGAAAATGAACAAAACAGGGCAATTAGCTTCTGGCAGTCAGAAGTTTAGGGACAACCAGAGCATGGGGTTGTCTCTGAACCTCTTGGCTAATAGCCACTGATGGACCTATCTTCCATGAATTTATCTAATTCTCTTTCAAACCAAGTTATACTTTTGGCCTTCACAACATAACCTGGCGATGAGTTCAGCACATGTTTATCTGTAAGCTTATGAGTGGAAGTGCTTTTCCTGGATTGGGGTCCGAGAGAGTCTCCCATTATCTTTAATGGACTCTGGACCTTCATTGGGGCCTTGGTTCATCAAAGCACTTAAGCATGTGCTTAATTATAAGCATATGAGCAATCTTCCTCCCTAATAAGCAAAGCACTTAAAGCCATGCTTAACTTGTTTTGCACACTAGACAAGATCGCTTCCCATTTGATGATGGAAATAGCTGTTGGCACCACAATTATCTGATGCAGAGGGTTTCTTGTGCTCTCCTCAGTACTGTAGATGGTGCTGGTGCCATCATTTATCACTGGCTTACTTCCATTTAAACAGCCACCATTAATTACTGGCCTGCTGGGTGACCCTGGGCAAGTCATGTCACCTCCCCGTGCTTCAGTTTCCCCATCTAGAAAAAATGGAGATGATACTGACCTCCTTTTGTAAAATGCAAAGTACTACCTAAAAGCTAAGACTTATTATTAAGACAAACATACACTAAATGGGAGTAGAGGAAGGAGGTATCCAGACTATGGTAGTCCAAGCAAAGCTTGCGGGATTGTTTTGCTTAGGACACAAAACTGATGAACTGCCGAGGGAAGCTCCTCTGAAGTTATGCAAGGGCACAAAAAGCAAACACTAATATGAGAAAAGGCCATGGCAGGCCCAGTCTATGTCCGAGCACCTTGTCGGCTTTAAATGTCAACTCATCTATATAAAAATAAGGCTGTTTCCTTGTAAGCACAATATGCAGGAAGTTTGTTTTTATAAGTAGAAAATAGAACCTTGTCTTAATGAAGAACACTTGTCCCTGGTCAAACATCTAGTCAGTGATAATAATTCTTTTGAACTCCTCAGTGCTTGAGACATCCCAAAAGAATTAACCTAAAGAAACATGATCAAAAACTCCATAAAAATCATGCAAGGAATTTACTGGATGGGATTTGAAGAGCAGGAAATTTAAAAAATGAAAGTACAATAAAGAGAAACCAATCATAAACTCTGCTAAGATATAGCAGGAAAAGCAGTGTATTGATTCTGACATCAATTACTTAGGAAAGACTTGGAAAATGTTCACAATAGGAAGCCATATGCTTTTCATTATGTGGATCAGCCACTGGACAGCTGGAATGCCACCATGATTGCTTCTGTCAATGCTGATGTGAGCCTCTTTAGGAAGGGATGTGAAATAATCTGAATGTGTAACAAGCATTCAAAGTGAAAGACCCCAGACAGTGTGCTTCTCATTATGACCAGGGGACAGAAGGATCAAGTTTTCCTGACAGGTTTAGGATTTGATTATGAGTTTGTATCCTAAAACCTTTGTGCACCAAAGCCTGTCACTGAAGTCAAATGGGAGGTTGGGATGCACAAGAAATGCAAGGCTGAAAGCTCTCTCTGGGTACTTACATGATCTAATCACTGTATTATCTGAGCAACTCACAATCATTCAGGCATGTATCCTCACAACATCCCAGTAAGGAAGGGAAGTAGTGACTTGCCTGAAGTCACAGCTGGAGGGTGTAGCAGAGCCAGGAATTGAACCCAGGGTTCCCAAGTCCCAGTGCAATACTTCATCCAAAAGTTCTACTTTATATTGTGGCAGATCTCCTAATTCAGCCTGATAAGCTGTCTTTCCCCATAGCAACTATGCAGCCAGACCGCTTGGAAAAGAGAAGTTTCATCCCATCCAGTCAGTTTCTAGTTTTGTTCTTCACTCAGCCTCAGGGCACCTTGGCATAGAGCATCCCATCTGCATGTGGTCCTTCTGCCCATCATAGATGGGCATTTAGACCACCCAGCTATGTTGGCGAATACTGTCACTGACCCCACAGCAGGGCATTGCTGTGGCTCATCAGTCACCAGAGTGCGCTGGCTGTGCTTCATGCTCAGAGGCAAGTGCTGTGGGCTCTCCAAGCACAAGGCCCTTCAGGCTCTAGTCCTCGGGGATTCCCAGGAACACTCACACACTTCATATGCAACAGAGGATTCCTTTGCTATGGCTGCCAGAACACAAAAGCTGCAAGCATGATGAACATTTCTAACAAACATGAACCCAACCATTCCCATGCCAGTCCCTCAGGGCAGTGCAGTCCAGAGAGAATAGGTGACAATATTCCATTGTAAACCTTCTGCATCATCCTTTTGCCTGCAGGTTACAGACCTCTATCTTACCGCTGCAGACACTGCTGCCACCTGCCAGCAACAGGTGCATCTCAGCTCAGCTCCCAGGCCATTCAAACCCAGCTCGCAGGTGGCCTGCCATCAGGCCTCCCTTCTGCAGTCAGCTTCCAGGCTGCTGACTCCCGCCTGCTGCTCTGGTGCCTTCCTCAGTTAGGTGCCCTCTGAGCTCTGGCAGTACTATCCTTTCCTGTGCTGGAGGGATTATGGAGGCCTCTGCTGGCTGCATGTTGCACTGAGGGTTAAACATTGAGCCCAGTAAGGAGCCAGTGGGGTCTTTGCAATACAGGGGCAAAAATACCTGCACTGTGGGCTCTTCTGTGGTGAGATAGGGTGGAGGCCCAGTTAGTAGGAAATTCCCCTAGGTTTCCCTTTAGTGAGTTCTCTCCAGCTTCCCAGGGGGCAGAAGGACAGTTGCGGGCCAGTTCTGCAGGCCTGCAAGTCACTACCTCCTAAGCCTATGGATGTCTGGAGATCTGCATAGATACAAGATACCCTTCACATAGTCCAATGGCCACCATGCTGCTCCCTTGCCTCCCCCCCTCCCCCATAGCAGCTTGGTTCCTAGTCTCCACCAACAGCTCCAATGAAACACCCTCTCAGGGGTGGGTGGGGGGAGCTGCAGCTGTGCAGAGGTTGTTACTGTGGGTTCAAACAGCAGTAACTTTGTGGTAGATTTCTCCCCGAGGAGAGAATATTGTGGGGCAGAGCTGCTCCCTCTCTATTCTCCAAAGTGTGGAGCCCTAGTCTATGGGGTAGGAAGCAGAATATAATGAAGATGTTGCTCTACTCCCTCCAGTGCTTTGGTCTCTACTGTATTTCATTATCATTCACTGCATAGCAGAGCGTAGCTATAACTCAACTTCATAGCCATCTCCAATCAGGTATTTTCTTGAACTCAAGTTGACCTAAGTGGGGTTTGAGGAAACAAAAGTGCTGAATGTCCCAATCAATGGCTCTTAAATAATAAAATGTCAGTTTAAAGTTAGCAGACAGTACT